TCAAAGAAGAAAAATATAAGACTGATTAGAGTCAAGAAGAAACAGAACAGAGTGCACATAACATAAAAAAGACTCTTCACAGAAGTAATGGCAGAAAACTTCCCAAGCAGGGGGAAAGAACTTGACATACAGATAAGTGAGGCATATAGGACTCCAAATAGCCTTGATTAAACAAAAAAATCTACACATAGGCATATAATTGTTAAGATTCCAGAAACCCAACAGAAGAACAAAATTCTTCCAACAGTTAGAGAAAAGAAACAAATCACATACAAAGGAAAGCCCATCAAAATCACAGCAGACTTGTCAAAGCAAACCCTAAAGGCTAGAAGAGCTTGGAGTGATATATTTGAAGCCCTAAAAGAAAACAGCCTCCAACCCAGATTGATGTACCCTGCAAAACTATCTTTCAAAATTGATGGTGAAATAAGATTCTTTCATGACAAAGAGCACCTTAGGAACTTCATGAATACCAAACCAGTACTCCAAAACATTTAAGACAATATCCTATGAAAAGACATTGAGGATCACAACCCCAGGAAGCCCAGCAGAATTAATCCTTTGGGAGCAACAAGAAATTACATGCAAAGGGGGAGAATCTAACAAAAAAAAAGTCCTGACAATGATGTTAATACATATCTGCACTGGCTATTTATCATCTTCTTATGTCTACTTTTTAATTGGGTTGTCTACTAATAAGCTATAAGTGTTCTATATATATTCTGGTCTTAGGTTATATGTGTTATAAATGTGGTCATTTAAGGATTAATTTTCATTTTCTTAACGATGTCATTTAAAATTCTAAATTTTGATGGAATCTCATTTATCAATTTCTTTCTTTTATACATCATGTTTTGTGCATACTAGGAAATTCTTGCCTACCCTAAATTCAAGAACATTTTCCCTTATGCTTTCTTCTTAAAGTTTTATAGTTTTAGTCTTTCATATTTAGGTTCATACACCCTTTCAAGGTAAGTTTATATATGGAAATAAAAGGTTGAGGTTAATTTTTTACATACGAATACCTGGTGTTCTAGTGCCATTTGCTGAAAACATTCTTTTCCTCTGCTGTTGAAGTAAGTTTATGTTCTATAAAATGTTAATGTTAAATAATCTTTCAAAACTCAGTGGACCATATATGTGTGGTTCTATTTCTAGATTCTCTGTTTTATTCCATTGATCTATGTGTCTTTCCTTATGCCAACACTGTCTTGATTACTGCAGCTTTAGAGGAAGTCTTAAAGTTAGGTAAAGAGTGTCTCCCAATACTGTTTGTTTGTTTTTTTTTTTACTTTTCTAGGTCCTTTGTACTCCTACATAACTTTTAAATTTCCAATTCTTCATTTATAGCAAGTATACCTAAACCTGAATTTTTATATATACCTTATGTTTTCTAACTCTGCTAAATTCGAATACAAGTGTTAGGGGCTCCTAGAGATTTCTTAGTATTTTCTCTGTAGATGATCATTTCATCTACATATAAAGATCTTACTTCTACCTTGCCAATCATATACTAAATGCTTATTTTTATTGCCAGACTATTTTGGTTTGGGATTATGTTCCAAAGTTTAATGGACAGATGAAGAGTGGGCATATTTGCCCTTGTTCCCCACCTTAGGGAGAAAGCATTGTACCTTTTCCATTCATGTAAGCTATTTTTGCTAGAAGTATGGAGTACATGGCTTATCTGTTGAGAAGGTTCTGTTTTACTTCTAGTCTCCTGATAGCTTTTACCATGAACAGCTGTAAATTTAGTCCCATACTTTTTCTGCAACTATTGACAGGATCATATGGCTTTTTCCTTTACTCTGATAAAATGTTACTTATAGGGGTGGAACTTCCAATGGTGAACCAACAGCGTCATCCCTATAATAAAACCACTTTCTACATACTGTCAGATCTGACTTCTAATAGTTTGTTTTGTTAAACAAATTTGTATCTATGTTTGTACTTTTTTATTCTATTATATTTATTCACTTTTGGTATTAGCACAATGCTGATTTCCTAAAATGAGGGGAGAAGTCTTCCTTTATTTTTTGCTGTAAATGTTTGATATAATTCATCAGTTAAAATGTATATGAGCCTGTTGTCATATGGGTAGGTTTTCAAGCTAGGAATATACTTTCTTTAATAGGTACTGTTCAAATTTTATATTTCCTCCAGAGTCAGTTTCATTAATTTGTCTTCCAAGGTACTTCTTAAAGTTGTCAAATTTATTTCAAGAAAGATTTTTGTAATATGCATTCTATATCCTTTGAAATTCTGGATCCATCCCAGGCTCCTAGAGCCAAGAAGGTGAGCCGGTCCCAGCACCGGGAAGGAAGCTCCCCGCCTCCATGCCAGGCTCCTAGGGCAGTGAAGCTCAGCTGGTCCCAGCACCCAGAAGGAAGCTCCCCAGCCTCCATTCCAGGCTCCTAGGGCAGTGGAGCTAAGATGCTCCCAGCACCCAGAAGGAATCTCCCTGGCTGCCATCCCAGGCTCCTAGGGCCAAGAAGGTGAGCTGGTCCCAGCACCCAGAGGGAAGCTCCCCAGCCTCCATCCCAGGCTCCTAGGGCAGTGAAGCTCAGCTGGTCCCAGCACCCAGAAGGAATCTCCCTGGCTGCCATCCCAGGCTCCTAGAGCCAAGAAGGTGAGCTTGTCCCAGCACCCAAAAGGAAGCTGGGACAGAAGCATCAGGGCCCTGAGCAGCGGACCAAGGCAGTGTGTGCAGAGTGAGGCCTCAGAAGGCTCGCTTGAGTCGGTGCTCACTTTCTGTGCCAGGTATTGGGAGTGTGGGCTCACTGTCTCCCCCAAGGCTGAGTGAGCTGCTTCTGTAGTTGTTGAGCAACCAGTGCCCAGCAAGCTCCCCATGTGTTTGGACCCGGCTGTGCACAGAGCAAAGGGCTCCGACATTTTGCATCGCTGTTGTCCCAAGCTTGGCCACAGAGATCCCAGCAGACGCGCTTTGCTTCCAAGGTTGCCACTTGGTTCCCCGGGCTCGCCTCACTTGCCGCACCCCAGCTGGTAGCTAGAGGGCCACGTGGCCCTGAAGAGTTTCACTTCACTTCCCTCTGTTTTGGTTTTGCCATCAGGGCCTTATTTCCTCTTATTGCTTATAATTCATTGTGTTATTTCATCAGTGCATAGTGGTTACATTCATGATGAGGTCGGTACATTTAAAGAGTGGAATGCAAATCAGGCCCCACCTGGGGCTTTGTGGGGAAATCTGTAAACCATGGATTGCTCTCAAAGTCACTTCTATGGAGCACACAGTCCCTGTCCCCTGGCATTGCCAGCTCAAGGCCCTGTTATGTCTGGATGATCCTTTCTTTGTGGCCAGTGCAGTGGGCCGTGGGCCACAGGGTGAGGGCCCAGCAGCATCTGGCCAGGATGGGGTGCATGTCTGTGGTCAGGAAGGGATTCCAGGACAGTGTGGTGCAGTCAGTAGCTGCAGCTGTGCATGGACACCAGAAAGATGGTTCCTGCAGGTTTGCAGGTGCAGCTCTGACGTGGGGCTGTGTACACCTTGCAGCCTGGTGCAGGATTTGGGGCCCCAGGAGTGAGGTCACCCAGGGACAGACTCACCGTGCTCTCTGCCCAGCTCAGCATGTGGAGAGGAGGAAAGCCCTCAGGGACTGCACACACCAGGGCAGTGTGGGAGGGAGGTCAAGTCTCAGCCTGTAGTCACCCACCCAGAATGATGTCACTCACCTGGCACGAGGCAGAGACTCACTGGCCTCTCAGGGAGCAGCACCCCCTCTGGTGGAGCCCATAGCCCTAGCCAGAGATGCTGACCTGACCCAAGCATTAATGGTGGACACCCAGCCATCGGGATCCATTCATTTATCAGAGCCGCTCAGTGAAGCCAGGTGAGGTGGTGCAGCTCTGCTACCCAGCACTCTGGGAGGCCCAGTCTGGGTGACAGCAACTTAATGAGAAGACTCTGACAATCACTATCACATATTAAATGGGCTGCTGATGTGGCTCAGTGAGAAGGTCCTTAATTTAATCCCCAGTACTGAAAATAAGTTTTACTGATTTGTAAAGACCTCAGTCCATGGGCAGGGCTGGACCATACACCCCCAAGAACCTCCAGCCTCTGCTGTCCAGGATGCTCTGTGGTTTCATATTTTAAAAGTAAAATTTAATAGAGATGGAGAGAATGTTCGTCCATCTCCAAGTAGACAGGCTGGGGCTGTGCTGTCCTGTCCCTCTGCCCTCTGAGCAGAGACAGACAGCAGCCAGATCAGACTGTCCCCGGGTGAGCCCAAAGACCTGTGGAGCTGATGTCCAGGAGGTCACCTGAAGCTCGGCCAGGATGGCGTGCTCTGCCCTGCAGACTCCGCAGAAGGAGCCCATCACTGGCTCCGCTCCTGTGACTGTGACCAGAGTCTCTGCTGCCAGGCTTCCACCCTAAAAAGGAGCATTGATGACACAGACACCAGGGACCCTGGAACCAGGAGGGCAGAGGCTGCTGAGCCAACTGTGTCACTGGGGCCCTGAATGTGTGAGGTTGAGCTTGACAGGCCAGGTCCCCAAGAACATAATGAGATGGTAGGAGAGCTGAGGCCTGATGCATCCCCTCCCAGCAGGGAAGACACAGCCTGAACCCTGAGATGCAGACAGGGAGGGGATGCCTAGGGGAGGCCATGGCCCAGTGGGTTTCCTGCGATGGTGCCCTTCACCTGTCCTTCATTCAGACTGCACACATTATCTTACTGTGATAAATACATCCTGTCTGGCAACACAACCTGGATTACCTACTGAAGAAGCCAATGAAAAATGGCTGGGATCTTTCTAGGGTTTCCCCTTCTGCATAGTGCAAGATTCATCAGCCCCTCTCACGACCGTGTGGCCAAAGGCAAGTCCAACTCACTGGTGTGAACCCTGCAGGCCAGGTGCCCATGGGGACATGAGAAGAGCAGTGGCCAGGGGCGTAGGCAGGAGCCAACAAACACAGAGCTCTGCAGATGGGCGCACACGGGAGAAGGCACTTCAGGCCACCACGCTGACCCTTTTAAACACTAAAAGTTTAAGTTTTATTAAAAGCTAGTTCTATTATTTATATAAATCCAAGGAATAAGGGCAAGTGTAAATACCAAAACAAGAGCCAGCATGAGTGAGGGGAACAGTGGGAAGGGGCCAGGACCTGGCCCCAGGCAGAGCTCAGGAGGTGACATCGACCACCGTGCAACCACCGGGTGCCCCAGCACTGCAGCAGGTGAAGGGGCTTCCACAGACTCTGGCTGTGGTCCCAGCACTGGGCAGGAAGCTGCAGGTGGAGCTGGCTCGGGCTCCACACATGGGACTTCAGCTGGGGCTGGACCTGGTCCTGCAGTTCCAAGAGAAGAAAGTCACCAACTGTCCATGTTCCCTCCCAGGGCAAAACCTCCCCACTGCCCATCAGACAGCTCTGCACACAAAACCTCCCCAGGAAGTCCTACCAGACCGTGATGGCTGAGGTGTCAGTGATCCCAGGTCACCCCAGCACCCGGAAGCTGTCTCTGTGTCTAAAGGCCCATCCCTCCCCTCATGCCCACAGGCCCACACCCCATCCTCCTCACCCGTGGGCTGTGCCTCAGTGGGCTCAGCTTGCTCCAGTTGGGCGAGGAGTTCAGCTGGTGGATTCTCCTGGAAGTGTAGCTCCACCAAGAAGTGGAGGACCTGGAAAGGCAGGTAGGAGGCAGAGTAAGAGAACATGCGGAGATGGACAAGTAGGCCTCCTGCCAGGCTGCGTGTGCTCCAGAAAAAGTCAGGCCCACTTCCTGGTCCTGAGAGGCTGCCCGGCTGTGCTCACTGCCACCTTTGCAGGTGGCATAGCCCCTGTGGGTACCATATGGGCCCTGGCCAGGAGTTGCCCTGAGGTGACACGGCAGAATAAAGCTGTGACAGGATGGAAGTGACACAGTGTCCTGTGTGCAGCTCTGTGGGGACAGTGCCCGGCAGCTGGCAGCAAGCACAAGGCTCTGCCTGACCCGTTTGTGCTGTTTCTGCCCCGGGTAACCTTGTGCTCCTGAAACACAAACAGCTCTGTCTCAAGCTTCTACCCCAGAGGACAGGAGAAGGCCCTGCAGGCTGTGGATCATCACTGGGCACGGCCCTTCTCCTCCTCTCAGCCCAGTCCTGGGGGCACAGGCCAGGGCCCCAGGCTCACAGCCTCCCACACCTGCCCCTGCCCAGGAGGAGCCTCCCTCATGACCTTTTCCCCCACCCTCCTCAAAGTGAGGAAGCTGGGTGGGAGTTACACAAGGGACTCACAATGGTGGCTGGGCCTAACTGGACCTGTCCTGGACTCGGTGGCCCTGAGTGTCCGGAGTCCAGGTCCAGGGAGATCTTCCCTGGGCTCCCGCTCATCTCAGGTCCCCAGGTCTCTGGGTCTGGTGAGACCTGCCCTGTGCTGCTCCTGAAGGCCAGGCAGTTCCTGGTGAGTGGCCTGAAGCATGGGGACTTAGCCATCCATCCTCTCACTCATGCCCAAGTGCTTTCCCTGTGTGGGGTCCTGTTGCTGCAGTCTCAAGGCCTGGGAAAGCAGCACAGCATGATCACTGCTGACTCTCTCCAGCCAAGTGAGTGTTAGGCAGCTGTCGCTGGACTGTGGTGCCCATTGACTCCAGGGTTCCGAGTTCTGTTTCTACTTGTTACCAAGGAAGTGAGGTCAAAGTGCTAGGGTCATAAGCCAAACTGCCCCCTCTGATGAGAAGATCCCGAGGTCCCTTCCTTTTGTAGTGGAACACATCTATCTGTGTGCTCCTTAGAAATAGCAATGAGAAACCAGAAAAACTGCCTGTGATGTTAGAGTTTGATGAATCAGAAGTTTTAATTTGGCAAATGTGTAGATGCTTAAGATGCAGCAGGCACAGGGAGAAGTGTGCTTTCCCATCCAAAGGGTCCATTCTCTCTCAAGACAGTGCTCATGTCAGCACTTAGAGATCTGATGGATTTGAGGATGATTTTCTTTCCTGGGTTGACTTCAATTGCCTTTCAATTCCAATAGGGACTATGGAGATGACCCCAAAATGTCCAATACAATTTTCTTTAAAGGATACAAAAGTTTCAGCTGATAACCCCTGGGTGGCCAGGAGTGGAGGATTCACAGCAGGTCGTAACTTTCAAGTGCCCATGGATAGCTACTTAAGCACAGATACGGAACTCAACACAAAGTGCAGTATGCAGTGCAGAGACAGTGTGAGGGGACAGCAGTCTTTGTGAAACCTCCCACCCAGCGGAGGTGCAGAACACTTTCATGCATCACTTGGGAACGTCTCTTGTGGCGCTGCTATCCCCTCCTGTCCCCTCATCCCAAGCTGACCATGTGCTTTGTGTCCCTGGTGGAGTAGAGAGGGTGAAGCTGGAACCATTCAGTATAAACGTTTCTGGCAGGTCTTCTTCAAGCAGTAACACCAGGCTAGGATCCCTGCTCTGCCTCAGTGGTGGCACCGTCATGGGGGTGGAGCACAGCTGTCCTGCATCCTCTGCTGATGGCCATTCCTTCGGATCCCAGATTGACCAATGAGCAGTTCCCACCAGCATCACTCAGGCAGGTGTCTTTTCAACCATGGATTCTTCTTCCAGGAGACACACTTGCATGTCTGTTTATTTGCTTTATATCACTATTTTTTGCCTACTTTTTTATTTACAACATTTCATTCCCCTTTGATGTTTCTAATGAAATCTAATAATAAATTCGGGTTATTATCTTAAAAAAAAAAGAATTTCTGTAAAATCTGTGGTAAGGTAGTCTAAATCTTGATATGGTAATTTTTAAAATGTATAATTGATATTTTGTAATAGGAAGAAAAGGTCTAAAGGAGTAGGGGAAGTGGGAGGGGTAGAGGAAAGAAAGAAGGGAAAAGAAAAAATATGAGAAAAGAAAAAAAATGGAAACAAAGTCATGCAAATAGGGAAGGGTGGAGGGGGTAAAGGGGGGGAAGGGAAAAAAAATAATAACCAAGATACATCATGTAAAGGTACAAGACCACAATGATGACTATAACTGTATTTTATACCTAAAATATACCATTAAAGGTAATGGAAAAAAAAGAAGCAAAATCCATTGATATGCTGCATACAAGAAACACACAATTCAAAAAGAAACTCATAGACTGAAAGTTAAAGGGTGGAAAACAATATTCCATATGATGGGTACCCAACAAAAAGAAGGAGTAGCTATCTTCTTCGCAGATCAGGATTTCAAACCAACACTGATTGAGACAAAGAAGAACACTACAGCCTTATAAAGGGAAAAATCCAATAGGAAGAGATGACAATCATAAATATCTATGCACCAAACACTAGTGTGCACAACTATATAAAACAAATACTAACAGACATGAAAAGTCATACATGCACTAATGGAATAGTAGTGGAGGACCTCAATATCCCACTGTAAAAAATAGACAGATCAACTAGACAAAAAATAAGTAATGAAATACTAGAACTCAATC